TGTGTGGTTTGATTTGGTTACATTTGCGAGCGCTCATACTGATTGTATTATTTTAGAGTGAATTTTACAGTGTGTGTTTTATTTTGGATAAGGAGGGGCATAGGGCCTATATTGATACAATTTGGTTTTTATCCAATATTTTAAGGACGGTGAAATAACAAGAAATGAATTGTAAATAAAAGCGAGCTCTACATATTCCTACAGATGTATACATAGAAATAGTCTTTGGGCTATGCATAAGGATAACACATTTATATAGGAGTTTATTATGTTGTTATTAGTACCCCCTGTAACAAAAAAAAAAAAAAAAAATTTATTGTCTCTATTCGTAAAACATGATAGCTGAGTCATGCATCACCGATCACCCTTTGACGTTAACTACTATGCATGTTCAAGCGAAATAGTTAAAAGTTAAAGTATAGAAGAAAGAAAGAAAGAAAGAAAGAAGAAAGAAAAAGCGCTTTATTTCCAAAATACCCAGTGCACAATAATTCGTCCCACGCAGGGGACGTGCCTACGCGCTACAGCAATGACCTCTCGGTCGTCTGCCGGGTTGGCACGTCTAAAACTAAATCAAAACAGTTATTGGATTCCTTTAAAATAAAATTATAAATCTTTCCTTAAACTAACAATTATGGCCAATATTTTAAAGTTAAGAAATATAATACAATCCAACCAGTTTCTCTAGTTATATCGGTTTTTTTTTTGTTTTTTTTTAGAAGTTTGGAAGAGTACGATATTTAATTTTTTTTTCCCCTTAATTGTTAAATTCTTGTATTAAAATCCACCTGTATTGCCAGGCGTTTTTTAAATAATTTACTAACGCTCGCCAATCCCTGCCATTTAAAAAACTAATATAATCCCGTTCAGAAAGGACTCTATTGTGTAAAAATGTTAATCTAAGATTACTTAAAATTGGACAAATAGCGATGAAATGAAATGTGGTTTCAATTTCACCCATATTACAAAGAGAACAGAACTTATTTCCCGTTGACCAAGGTTTACCATTCAAATAGAGCAGCTCTGCCCTAGCCTTAATTATCCAGGAAACGAAGCTGACATCGGCGTTATCAGTAAGGTAGCTTCTATCGCCAAGTTCAAGGCCAAGGTCGAGGCTGATCAGCTGACTGTGGTGAATGGACGTGCGTGCGCGCCCTATACACTCTCCTATCCATACGTCACTCAGCTTTTCCACCACCGTCAGACATCTCGATTTTACCGCCTCTGATCCAAAATCTACATCGACCCCTACCTTCTCACCTAGCATCTTCCACTGTCTGCACCAATCTAAGTTTTGGTTTATAATTTGTTTGGCTAGAATCAAAGGAAGTCTATTATCGGAGAAATGTAGTACTTTTAATAGGTAATTTAAATTCGTAATCATATTATAAAAAAACAATTTTTTAAATCCACTTTCTAAATAAATCACATAGTTTGGCGTGTTATAAGGCAACCGGAAGAGTCTCTTTAAAAACAATTTTTGAACGGATTCTAGGAAATCAGATTCGAAGCAACCCCATACCTGAGCCCCATAACTAACAATTGATTTTATGACGGAATTAAAACACATAATTTTAGATGATAAAGGCACAGATTTATTATTGATTAAGTTATTCCACACCGAGTTAATTGCTAATTTTGCTTGCCTCGCTTTATCTTTAAAATGTGATTGCCAAGATAACGTCGCTGTGAATAACACTCCGAGGTATTTATAGCTGTTTACTACTTCTACACGTTTCCCATTGAACCACCATATATCTGACGAGGCCAATTTACCCCCATTTCTGAAAACGATTATTTTTGATTTTTCAAGATTAACTCTCAAATTCCATGTTTCACAGTAAGTTTCTAAATTTCTTATCATAAGTTGTAAGCAGGTGGACGTAGGCGCTAACAACACGACGTCGTCGGCATATAAAAGAATGTTTATCCTAGTCCCTCCAAAATTACAGCCGCCACCAAGTGCCTCAGGAAGATCATTAATAAATAAAGTGAACATTAAAGGACTCGCAGAACATCCTTGCCTAAGACCTGTCGAAGTTTCAAAATTTGCTGTCACACTGTCTCCACACCACACACCCGCTCTAGTACCATCATAATAGTTCTTAAAAATATTTAAAAATTTTGTTGAAACACCTATACAGGATAACTTAAACAGTAGCGACTTCCTATCAATAGTATCGAATGCTGCCGAGAAGTCAACAAAGAAAGCATATAGCTTACCTCCGGTCCTTGCCAGCCTTAGGCGCACAATCGCATTTAGGTTAAAGATATTGTCGATGGTTGAATAACCTCTCCTAAATCCCGCCTGAAACTCACTTATTAACTGCCTATCACTAGCCCAATTACTTAACCTTGAATCTAAAATGTTTATAAAAATCTTAGCTACACAGTTGATAAAGGACAACCCTCTATAATTTTTGACGTCATTAATGTTGCCTTTTTTATGTAAAGGAAAAATAATAGACTCCTTGAAAGTTTGTGGGACATTGCCACTCTCAAAAATACTATTATAAATATAAATAAGACTATTAAGTAATTCATCCGGTGCGTTTTTAAAAAACTCATATGGCACCCTGTCAATGCCAGGTGCTTTGCCATTTTTTACCCTTAACAACACAGCTTTTAATTCATCTAGTGAAATATTTGCATCGAGGTATTCGTCACAAACTACTGGCTGTGCATACGAAACAGTAGATACTAACAAGGGTGGATTTAATAAACTCTTAAAATGCTTCGTCCAATCCTGTGTCGCAATTTTACCAATTTGGTTTGAAATTTTACATTTGAAAGAATTTATTGCACTCCAAAACTGCTTACTGTTCGTTACTTGAGACACATTATCTATAATTTGATTGTAGTAAGATTTTTTCTTTTTTTTACAAAGTGCTTTAAATAATTTGATCACCTCCAAGTATTTTACTTTATCTAAATCTAAATTAGTTTTCCGAAACTTATTCAAGAGTTTGAATGAGCGCCTACGAGCTGACTGACACTCCTTATCGAACCAAGCCTTTTTACTGATAAGACATTTGTTCTTGGGTACAACTTGTTTAGTTCGCGCTGATTCAGTGATGCAGCCTATAATTGAATCGACATTCCTTTGTGCGTCGTCTCCTAATTGCACACTTAATAGTTTCTCGCCAATTACTTTACAATACCTCTCCTTATCATTATCTACCCACTTTAATCTAGGAAGCAAAAATATCTTATTACTCTCCTCCCTGTCCTCAATCTCATCCTCGGCTCTAGGAGCTATTATCTCTAAACTAAGGTCAACAGGAAGGTGGTCAGATCCTACAAAACTTAACACATTTAAATCTTTGACAGCATGCAAACAATTGATTGACACTCCCACCAAATCTATGACAGAGCTTCCCATATGACCCACGAAAGTAAACTCCCCATTTTTATCTCCGTAAGTCCTCCCATTTAATACTATTAGACCCAGATTATCCATTAATTCTAGTACTTTACGACCTTTCTGATTTGTTATTAAGTCCTTTGAATACCTCTCAAAATTAACATTCTTTATTGTCTCCGGGATTACTTCATTAGGCAGGCTTTGTTCTCTTCCAATTCTCCCGTTTAAATCCCCTAACAATATTAAGTTTTTAAAATCATTATTGTACAAAAAAGTTGTGAGTTTCTCAAATTCACTATCCCAGTTCCCAAAATTTAGATAAACTGGGAGAAGCCTGATACAACCATCATCAATACTGTTACTATCTTTAATCTTAAAAATCTTATAGTTTTCGATTTCCAACACTTCAATTTTACTTAGTAGCTTAGATTTTAAATTAACTAAACAGAGCGACCCACCACTGCCTCTTCCAAAATGGGACGACCTTACTGCAAAATTAAAATGTACAATAAATCCTGCAAAGCTATTTACAATTAAATCTCTATCCTTTTCTAAAATAAATGTTTCTAGTAAAATTACAATATCATAATTATTAAGTAAACTAACAAAATGGCCATCACTAATCTTGGCCTTTAGGCCGCAAACATTATAAACTAAAATTTTCAGTTCTATACTCATGCTGTTTATCCGGTCCTCTCCATGTTGTCGTGTCCGGGGATTGGCGATGATCTCCTATATTGATACAATTTGGTTTTTATCCAATATTTTAAGGACGGTGAAATAACAAGAAATGAATTGTAAATAAAAGCGAGCTCTACATATTCCTACAGATGTATACATAGAAATAGTCTTTGGGCTATGCATAAGGATAACACATTTATATAGGAGTTTATTATGTTGTTATTAGTACCCCCTGTAACAAAAAAAAAAAAAAAAAAATTTATTGTCTCTATTCGTAAAACATGATAGCTGAGTCATGCATCACCGATCACCCTTTGACGTTAACTACTATGCATGTTCAAGCGAAATAGTTAAAAGTTAAAGTATATAACGCACGTCAAAAGATGTCATCATGGGGTTTGCTACACGGAGAGTTCAACACTTTGAAACTACTAAATCTGCAATAACAAACCTAATACAATTTTAAACATTAAGCATTCATCACTATTTTGTTTCTACGAGATGGGAACGCAATTAAGACGTATTTCACCATGAATTAAGAGTATTGGTAAACGAAATGAGTTAAGAAAATTCCTCACTGACTAAGATTAGCTGTTTCGTATAGTGGTATAAAAACCATTCAACATTACCAAAAACTCGAAAAAATTATGCTAATTGTAAAAGTGGCTTTTATTTTACCAACCAACAAACTTTCCTTTGTGCAATTTCTTACATTACATTCTTTTATCACAGTCGACTAAAAGATTCCACAATTCCGAAGAAATTCTGTCCATGGACAACAATGGACTGTGTTGACCTGTATTGGGGTGGTGGGGGTGTGCCTTTGTATCAGATCAGCTGTTCACGTGTTATATCACATTAGTCCCGTCAGCTGGTTCGCCGTTCTCCTGTCAGCTCTCAGCTGTTCTTTCTTCTTTGTCCTCTCTCCGGTCTAGTTTGTTCCGTTCCCGTTCGTTCCCCGGTGTTTACGGTACTTCGTTTCCACTGTATGATCTCGATCTACAGCCTCTAGCTGCTCTTCTTCCACGAATCCTCCGTTGATGTTGATGTACCGTTCCCATTCCCGCCGGTTTTTGCACACCGAGGTAGGCAGTGTGCTCGCTAAGATATTCAAATTTAGTTAAATTGTTGGTAATTATGAAATTTTGGCTAAACTCGACCTAACAACCTAATTGTTGCTTTATTACAATTGAAGTTAGAACGTTTTAAATAGTGTGAACATTTACATGTTCGAATTCCTATTAAATTAATCTCGTACTATTTAAAAGTATAATTGTATTTATTAAGAGGTCAAACATTTTTGTGAAGGCGCAGTAATTCTCGTTCAAATTCCTTTTCAGAATCAGTGAAATTTTACTTTTCAATTTTAACTAATTAAGTATCAGTCATCCGGCACAAGATAGAATTGGAAAGGAACACAATTTTGTTGAATTTAGGCCTACATACTATTTAAATTATCATTTATTTTATGGCGAATAAAGTTCTTGCATTCTTGAAACATCTGACCTCAACTCCACGCTTTATTTCTCAGAACACAACATTTTAATTTCAAACAAACCCCAAATCACATGCACGGCACCCTGACCAAAATATCTATCTCCTACTAAAACATTATACCATAGATTAAACATACTCCCTTCGTTGCTTAGTCTATGATTATACTCATCTGCACTTGCCATCAAACATTTTTTGTGCAGTCATTTTGAGCGGTTGTGATAGTTTGACATTGTTACAGGTATATTGGAGATGAGCACAGCCACTGAGAACATCAGATTCAGTGGACATACACTGGACAAGGCTACCAAGGCCAAAGTGACGCTAGAGAACTACTACAGCAATCTCATCGCGCAGCACATCGAGCGCAAACAGAGGTCAGAGTGTAAATCAAGTGATTGAAATCATTAGATAACTAAGCTTATCCTAGTGAAAACCAAGTCAATTTAGTTCATTCTTACCTCCAGGATTGATACCGTAGATGCCTAAAGAGACGAGAGAGGCCAGGGCGCCTTTAAAAAGACAAAATTAACATATAATATAACTGTGCTTTGTAAGTTTTATATACAGTTTAAAGGGTCTAAAACAAATTTCTGTTATTAACTAAGAATAATCATTGTCAGAGTATTCATCGTGTATTCCTGGTGTGTTGGTTAACGTCGAGATGCACTTAGAGCCTATATTGATTCAAGTTGCACAAAACATCAAATTACAATAAGTTAACATGATTCACATGGCCGGCCAAACAAAAGTGTAAAGTAAACTAGTCCAAAATAAGTGTCAAAACCTGTCATCTTATTAATCAATAGTGGATTGATGTCAAAAAAAGGTATGTGACCTATAAGTAAAATGCTGTAAGCACGTTTCTGCCTAAAACGTTTCTTGTGAGGACTTATTTCTTGAGTATTTAAGTACTTGCATATTATGGTCTATGCAAAAGCAGCCGTAGGTATTGTCCCATGCACATATATTCTAACATGTGCCTGGGACTTGTAAAATATAAATGCATCATGAAAAACACTAAAAAATTTGGAATTCATTACCAATCAAACACAATCTGATCTTCCCCATTTAATCAGACATTCGAAAGTTAAATTATCAGAAAACGTAATTTTTTTATCAACTGTTACGATACATTTTTATTTAGTAAACCCAAGATCTGTTATTTCTTATTTTACTCTTTATCCAGATCTCACATTTGGTTATCTTTACACACCATTGTTCTCTTATGATTTCAATAAGCCGTGGCTGACTCATGTTGTGGTAAAGGTGGCACACCTTATTTCTGTCACATGAATATTACTGTGTGAGGTGTGTTCAAATTTGTTCCGCTTCCATTGGCTGTTACGTTAGTAATATTTTAAACAGTTCAGAATATTATTATTCCTTACTGTACTATGTAAAGTATCAGGGCCGGATTTAGCATTTTTGCGCCCCTAGGCCCAAATAATTTTCCGCCCCCTAGTCTGGTCACATTTCTTCAAACCTTTATTAAAAACTATATAATTCTCATAGGCCTAAGTTAACTGCTTGAATAACACTCCTCTTTGAAATCAGAGCAAGTTTTTTTAGAATTGACTTGTTTAGCCTTAACAATATGTCGTCTTAAACACTTTTAGCAATTTTATGCTTTTAATAAATGCTCACGTTTGTGGCCGTGGTGGGACTGAAACAAAAAACTCAACCACCCGAGCATTCCTGCAAAAAAAAACATGGCCATTGATTCCAATTCCAGGCCCAAAAACATGAACTCCATACAGTACGTCATACCATAGATTAAACCTACTCCTTTAGTAGATTTGTCATCATTTTGGATTAGCTGAAAACAATTCTTGTTATTTTGTTTAAGGAGTATGTTTTATCTATGTTTAAACCTAGTTTATCCAAAATAAAACGATCTTATCATTAAAAATAGGTCGTCTCCTGTTTATTTTACTAGAAATTGAAACACACATTATAGAACTTACCCTAAAATAATAGAAACAAAATTACGTCAAAACTAACGTCCAGTGTCACCAACATGAGCTAGACATGAAAAAATTTTGAATTAACAATGTCATAAGAAGTCGACTTGAGTAATATTCAATCTATGGTCGTACTGCATCTAGGTTATGTTTCCAAAGCAAAACAGAGCAATATTCCGGCCAACCGTACCGACCTTACTTAGGTCTGAGGAGAAAATTACAGCATTACTGATGTTTTGGAGGGATGTTTTAGAAAAATTAATCTAAAATCTAATGCAAACTGTGATTAATATTTTTTCGTTAATTTTAAAGGTAAATACATCGTTGTTTTAATATTCAACACAACTTATTATATATTTTAACTTGATCCTGCAGATTGTTGTAAACTAATCAAAAGACTTTTAACTTTTGAGGTGAGAGTGGTAACAATGTCTAGCACGCATGCGCCCCTAATCACTCTGATCAGTAGTACCGAGCCCGAGCCAGCATACCCCTTGGGCGCTCGTCATCGTCAACATCCCTTGAGCCTACTCCCGTATAACCAATGTTCTTTAATCTTTACCAATTTTGTAATGAAATTGATACATAATTCTGAAAATAGTTTAAATTTCCTAACAATTATATCTTCTTATGAAATTCAGAATCACAATGCGTTGGAGTTTTTTTTTATCAACTATGACTTTTTATTTTAGAGAGCCTAGGTATAAAAAAATTTACTCTCGGCCGTGCGCCCTCTGGGACCATGCGCCCATAGGCCCGGGCCTACCGGGCCTATTGGGAAATCCGGCCCTGACTCAAATACTGTAAAAATACATGAGTCACTATTGTCATTAAAACTTAACACTATTTAATTGCCATACAATGTAGCTGAGATCTGATTCTTGTCTGATAGTCAAGAGATTACCTGTTTCATCCCAAAAAAGTTAGTAACACCGGATTGTCCAAAGGTAAACTTGGCTGCTCATGATCGTTGGGCTTAAAAAGAAGAGGATTCAAGTCAAATAACTAGCTGATCCTAGTCAGTAACCAAAATTATCGTCTTATTCATTTAACACCCGTCCTTCATCTCAAAATATTGACCCTGGTGTCATACAAATGTCTATCAGTCCACAATTACGTTAAATAAACAGTTGATTTTTATATATGGTTTAGTAACCGATAATAGGCCCCTAATTGTTTTTCCTGTTTAAATACTGGATGTTTTTAATTGTAAAGGTAATGTATTTGCTATTCAAAATTATGGTTCAGAAAAATACAGATGAACTAGAAACTCTCAAGTTAAATTATGCTTGATCTTGAGCAAAATACTTCCTCATAATTATTGAGATTTTATTTATTTGCAGGTTAGCAAAGTTAGAAGAATCACTCAAAGATGAAGGACTGTCAGAAGCACAAAAGCAGGAGAAAAGGCAACAACACGCACAAAAGGAGACGGAGTTCCTGCGACTCAAGAGGTCCAGGCTCGGGGTCGAGGACTTTGAACCTCTAAAAGTCATTGGTAGAGGAGCGTTTGGAGAGGTGAGTGATGGTTTACATCCCTTCGGTACCGTAACTGTTATTGATAAGTTTTGACAATAACACACAGTTATCACACTTAGATTCAACATCCAACAAGCTGTTGTACTTCTTTTAATTGGTAGTAGTTCCAACTTTCTTGAAAAAATTGTTCTTATTCAAAAGCGATTTTTTGTGAATTACTGATATGAAGTATTTGTCAATCATGAGTAGGATTAGTATACAAATTAAGTATGTGGTTTCTTTTAAAATTTATTAATCTGGCTGTTTGGATCACCAATTTAGTTAACTAGTATACACAATTTTATTTTGCCTAATTTTTAATAAACCACTTAGGTAAATTAGATTCGAGAAATAAACATTTATATTAATTTCCCTGTAAAGCTATATATAAATTGTATTATTTGGCCTACATTTCCTTCATATAAATGTCAGCAGGCAATCAATCCTCAAATACCAAACTTGTGACTAACCACATCAAGCTTGACATTTACTCTTAGAATGTGAAGTAAGAATAACATATGAGCTAAATGTACCCGACTAGCTGAATCAAATGCAGTTATTTACTCTACCTTATACTAAAGCAAAGCCCAGTTAATTATGACATTTTAATTAAAACAACCTTATCTTAGTGATCAGTTTGTTTGGGTTTAAATGAAATATGGTCTAATATGAAATATTAGTCTAATATGGTATTTACTTTGTAAACAAAGTTATCTTTTACAAACTTGGGTTATACTGTAGTAACAAATCAATAGCTATTTTTTATTTGATTGCACTACATGCTAATAATTTTGTTGTTGTTAGTGATTGCATTTGTAGTAGAGTTCACTTTGAAAAGGATCATAGGTTTTACTTAAGTATTTTTGAAGATGCATGTTTTACGTTTGTTAAGCCTTGGGAGCTAGTTGATGTCCAATTAAATATTTTCCTCTCATAGTGTCCATTTTACAATGCTTCGCTCTTTTGTTATAATGAATGCAGTAAGTATGACTTGTTGTATCACTAACTTCAACATAGTTAGTATAATACCTCAAAACTGTAAGTAAATAAAAATATGTATAATAACACTTGAGCATATGTATTTACACTTATACTGTTGACTCACAAGACGGTAAATACATTATAAAAGATGGTGGGTGGTGATCGATTTTTTTGGACACTCCAATAATCATCAGATGTTTAAAGTGTTAGACATATTTTATGTACTTTCAGTAAATTTAATAACATGTACAATGCTGATCAAGATTTTATGTATACCTCAAAACACACTCTTAATATACTAAAAAGAAACATACTTCAAAATTCATTTCATCATACTGTCCGGAAAAAAACTGTTTTTAGTTCTTCGTTTTTGGGTAACTTCAAAATAGGGAACATAAAATAAAAATCATATGGTAAATTTCGGTTCACTAACCTCATAACTTTATCCGTGCATTATGAAAACGCTGCTAATCACACGATATTTTAACTTATGTTTGTAAACAACTTAAATGTAAACATTGATGATGACTTTGTATAACCACAAATTATGTGGTCCAAATTTGTAACGATTAGAATGTTATTTCCACAGCACGATGAAAATAGTTCATCACACGGAGCGAAAGTTTCTTTTTGGGACTTCATTGTATTTTCAAGCACTTGTAAAACACGATTGCGTACCAAAAAGAGCCACTTTTACTCCTAGTGATGAAAACAAAATGTACCTACTATTAAATGCTATACGGATGATAAATAAATCAACCAAAAGCTAAAAAAAAATGTTATCAAATTTTGCATTGACGCTGACAATAAACATGAATAACGACGAATGATATTGCTCACAGGTGCGGCTGGTACAGAAGAAGGATACAGGACATGTTTATGCTATGAAGATCCTGCGCAAAGCTGACATGCTGGAGAAGGAACAGGTGATGTTTAATGTGGTTTAAGTACTTGTCTCGTAACTATTCAAATACACACTTGGGTAGAAGTAGGAAATGTTCTCAGAGTTCATTATAGTAGAATCTGTCTAAATTTGCATACTTAGTAATCTGATATTAGTCAGATAGATTTGTATTCTCAGTGAGTCGTCGGCCAATATCTTAACAATGTTGGAATATGCTTTGTGTTGTGGAATTTGTCTACACGCTGAGGTAATAAGCTAATTTTTTTTTCTTGTAATCCACTCCCCCATTTTTTTTTTGAACCTGACATGTATGCTACACCTATGTACACCTGACATGTATGCTGTTCAAAACCACAATTTAATTTGTTGAGTTTAAATGCCTGTTCGAGCAGGATAACAGCTATTGCTGATGATTTTAAAATATTTTTTTATTGGGTTTGATATATTCTCCAATTGAAACAAAACACCTATTGCTCCCTTTTAGGCTAATTATTAACTGTTTGTGAATACAATATGGTTGTAAAATTATCATAGAACTGTTATTAGAAGTTTTTTTTTATCTATACTCTAAAAAAAATTAAAAACACACTAATCAAACGAATTAAGATGAAGTTATTATTTTGTTTCACATAGAAATTAAAATTTGATTTTTCTTCTACTTTAAAAAACTACAACCCACTTATTTCCTTATATTCGGTGGTGAGTCTAAGTCAGAATATCATACCACATTAACATATTCTCATAGTAACATTAACTCAATGTGGTATGGTAATGTGGTGTTCGTTTTTGCCTTTGATTTTGTAAACAATTAAAATTAGACATGGACAAACCATCTTCCCTATCAATAATTGTCTATCTTTTGTAATACCGATTTTTTGTTGAGCCTTGTCATGAACAATCCCATCAACAAAATACCTATTAATTTTGCAACAGTATACCTTTTGATTGCAAATCAAATATTATTGTAAACTGTAACCCTCTCTCCTATTAGGCCCATTCAGTTGGTAAATGTTTAATATGTAAACTTGCACAGAGAGGTTAGTTAAAACAAAAGCAATGTCCTGTGACAGGTAGCGCATGTCAGAGCAGAGAGAGATGTCCTGGTAGAGGCGGATCATCAATGGGTGGTCAAGATGTACTATAGCTTTCAGGTGAGCTTATATTGTAGATTGTAGTGACCAGCACTCAGAGCTTACTGTTGTCTCTAACTGATCACAAATTGAGCAATTTTCCAATAGACAGGTATAGTCTTTTTTGGATATTGTCACAAATGAATAAATCTCTGACTGGAAAACATCTTCCTAACAAGGGGAGTGAGTTATGCTAGACTACCAGCAACAAACTTAATTTTGATTACGAAATGCCTACCAAACATGGGTTGGCTTTTAAAGTCAATGGCATATCTGCTTTCTCAAAATTTAAGAGAATATTTTCAGAACAAGAATAATTCAGAATATAGCCTATTCAGAACAGAATAAGAATATATTCATAACAGAATTTTTTCAAATGTTTCTTCTACTTTGGCTGTGGCACCTGCAGCTGCAGAGTCGCCCCACTCCTCCACCGAAGCGACGGCCCTGTTCCTCTCAAGAGGAGACATGATGAAGAAAGATATATTCAGTTAGGAGTGTTAATGACTATTCATTGACAGTTTTACAACAAAAACTAAATTTAAGCATCAACATTAGACCATTATCAAGTATGTCTGTTGCAGGATCCCATCAACCTGTACCTGATCATGGAGTTCCTCCCAGGAGGAGACATGATGACGTTGCTGATGAAGAAGGATACTCTCAGTGAGGAGTGTACACAGTTCTACATCGCGGAGACGGCCCTGGCCATCGACTCTATACATAAGCTGGGCTTCATCCATCGGTGAGTGATTATTGAAAAGATTTGAGTTTGAAGATTTCAACCTTGTAAATGAATAGACTAATTACTAAGGAGTTTGTGATGGAAAATTAATTAAAAATTGAAATAAAATTTCTATACTCCATCCCGTGTTCACCATGCAGTATTGAGAGCCCCTAAACCATATACTGTATATCGAATGGTAGTCTCAAAGGATGGCCTCACAACTGATTTTTCTGGGCACCACCTGTTTCTTTTATGAGGGGTCAGGGGGTCCCCAATATATTCAAGTTGTGCCAAGCCAATGTCGTGGAAATAACAATGTTTCATTAATGAACTCCAAATCTGTGTTTCCTCTTCCTTTGTAGATATATGCTGTAAGTAGCAACAGAACCTCTTCACTCATTAAATATAATGCCAACCCTAACAGCTAGAAGTTGCAAAAGTGTTGCACCTCCAGTGACCAAGTCGCGGCGATAGAGTCGCCAAGTGTGGCCATAGCTTAAGTCAAAACACTATTCCATCTCAATAAAAAACTCAAATGTACATAGGTTAAATGTACTTTAGCGCCTGCTTGAGGATTGTGAGAACAGTTGACACAACCCGCCTGACAATAAACATGATGTTCCCAGTAATATCAATAGCACAATTATCTCCCACAAGACCTTTACAACACAGCGAATGTGAAATTCATTATAATAAGTAAGTTTTGCGAATTTGGGGTGAATTGTATTAACTTTACATTATTGTTTTTCAGGGATATTAAACCAGACAACCTCCTGCTGGATGCTAGAGGACACATCAAACTGTCAGACTTTGGACTCTGTACGGGTCTCAAGAAGTCTCATCGAACTGACTTTTACAGAGATCTCAGCCAAGCAAAACCTTCAGACTTCAGTGAGTCCCTCCTCGTTTATTATTTTGTATTGTTGCCAACCATGGATTCAAAGTTGTTAAAAAGATTCTCTAGAGGATTGTGTTTTAAACATTTGTTTTTAAACCTAATGTCATTTTCATCTTTTGAAAATAATTAGGTCAGTGTTAAGTTCATAACCAAAATACCCTACTAAAATCTTTATGGCATGGATCCATTTTTGGATTATTTTTTACCTGGACCTGGTTGATTCTTTCAAACAAAACCAAATAAGCAGATACTCAGAACAAAAATGATTTTTACTTGACCATATGAGAAGACGAGTAGTGTTTTTGGTTTAACGGATTTCAATCTTAATTTAATCCATTTAGCGGTTCAAATCTTCAAGAGTAGCTTACTCTTTGTCGTGGATGGGGAAAATAGCCTTACATAACTTTTGATGTTGGTCTAATCTAATAGCAAATGCAAGTCTAATTGAAGCTCTACAGTCTATATCCTGGGTGACCAACATAAACCGGAGCTAACAGATAGTAAACGCATGACAGTTATGTTAAATTGGTTTAAAACTACTATTCAACCATGAACCCCTACGGTCTAGGGAATTTAGCTTCTGCCAATGTCCGAATAAAGTGCTCACTCCGTGACGTGGTTATTTCTTACTGTTCAAATCGCGAAGTGGGTAAAAATTTCAGACATCGTCCGAATTCGAGTTAGCGTAACAAATATTATGTTATGAAGGGTTTTGTCATGTTTCCGTAATATCCCGTTGCCCAAGGTCACCAGATTTGGGAATGAGTCAATTTGTTCTTTTGGGCATTCTCAAATTTTGCGTCTACACTTCCAAATCCCGAATCGTAATGGATCTTAATGTCGCAACTAACCAGGTGAAAATTAATGGGGCTGAGAAATACTAACACGTGTAATGGAAGAAAATTATTGAATCCTGTATGAATGAAAGTGGAACTGACTGACATTTTTATTCAAAAGTATAGGGCATCTGACAAGTGTAGATAACTATGTTTAGTTAATAATGTATTTCTTAAATTGCAAGAGTTTACAAAGATTTTTAATGTAATAAAAGGTATATTTTAAAGAAATCATGAGTAAAAAGTATGAGCAAAAGTATGAGTAATGCTAAAAATGTCCGGCTTTTCTTGGTCACCGATTATCTTTCTAGTCACATTCGAAAAACATCTTGTACATTTTGTTCACGATTGTCGTTTGTTGCAGCGTCGAGCCCCATGGACAGCAAGCGAAGGGCAGAGAGTTGGAAGAAAAACCGTCGAGCATTGGCATACAGTACAGTGGGCACACCGGACTATATTGCCCCTGAGGTGGGTACTGATTGAACCAGAAAGGTTTACTTAATATAGGCTAATGTGTTTATTACTACAGTAACCCTTAGTAATCCGGCCTAATTGTTGGCCTAAGACACCGGATTATTTTAAGAATGTTAGTTGTAGAAATCTGTATTGATAGGATGCAAACTAATGAATGTCTGCTTTAATTTAAAACCCTTGAATTATTTTATTGTTGTTCATCCCATATCTATAAGTATAAAATCAATTCTAAATGCAAATAGTGGGCTCATTGATAACCACTTATATCATTGTGAACACAAAAATACTCCTCCCTTACTTTGTTATTATAATTCTGAAAATTTAAGTGTTTTTCTGCTACTTTCTAACACATCCCACAGTCTCAAGTGTCAAAAGTTTCCTATTGTAACCAGGTGTTAACATTATTCTTTTGAACAAGCAAGACTATTCTGGAATGCCTACAATTATGTTGATAAAAATTGTGACTTGTGCCTACTTACTGGAGGGGCCACTGGTACCTTAAGAGATATTTGGCCTCACCCACACACTACCTCCAGGTGTCACTTTCTTGAGCTACATTTTCACTTCTTCCCTATCTTTTTATATCTTTTTGATAAAAATTGTTAGTAAAATAATATATTTAGGCTAGGCCTATAGGCAAACTTGTATTTTAAGAAAAGATATGATGAGTTTTGATTGAACCCAACTTAGGTTAAGTGTTGTTCCACCTATCACTAGCTCATTTGCTATTTAGTCAAATCGATGTATTTGTTGCTTGTTATAGGTGTTCCTGCAGACGGGCTATGGGCCAGCTTGCGACTGGTGGAGTTTAGGAGTTATAATGTATGAAATGCTAATCGGTCAGTATATTGTATCATCATTGCTCTAAGAAAATTAACCGTAAACCACTGACTCTAAAGATTGTGAGATATATTGTCCACTGTAGTTCACATGCACATAAATTATTCTAATTTCCTCTCTTTCTTTGTTGTGGAAAGTAATCTTATAACATTTCGAAGTAAGAAATCAAAATATTTAAGTTATTATTTCAATTATAAACATTGATTGATGGATGTAAATCAAATACATTAAGTCCGAATCATCTGGGTCTGACATTTTGGAAGAAAAAATAACATTGAAACAGTAGTGATCAAAACAGTTGCGGAAGTGCCTTGACACTGACTACTGACTTAGTTACTGAGAGCACCATGCCTACTGTCGAAGCAGCACTGTCCAGTGCAAACCCACGACATCACAAAATACAGTATACTATTGAGCAGTGCTGTGGAAAGTTTCAGATTTCTAGCTCTAATCCTGGCTTGAAAATAAATCATTGTGTGCCGCATTGCAGCTTGGGAGCGAGCGCACTCACCAGGATGGCATTAGGGTTCCTTGTGGGAGCGGTTGCTCCCATGCTGCCTTGAACGTGTTAAGAGTAATACTGAGTTGAGTCAGCTTTGTTGTTTAATATAACTTGATCAGTTAGACATTTTAAGAACCGTCCACTATTTTTCAATATTTTAAAGTATAGTAGAAATACTATAAATTTAACACCAGCAACCTCTAATTTTACCAGTCTTTAAAACACAAAACCAAGCCATACAAGTCATCGCTTCACCAAACAAGCCAAGATGCAAAAATTCCACTTCAACTTACAGATTGTCATTGAATATCCCACTTGCATTACCCTCATGTACATTGCTCTTTCACTCTCATAAAGAGTCTAACTAGTAGTATCAGTTAGTAAGATGCCCGTGGTTGATGAGGAATGTGTAAGTATTTAGAATGCTAAAACTACTACTTTTTCTACATATACTTCCACAATTAACCCAACATTCTGTAACCTTCTGATATGTCTTGTCACAGGCTACCCTCCATTCTGCAGTGAAAACCCTCAAGAGACGTATCGCAAGGTGATGAACTGGAGGGAGACCCTCACTTTTCCTCCAGAGGTACCCATCTCTGAGGAGGCCAAGGAGGCTGTAGCCAGGTTCGTAATGATAAGAAGACCTTACCATACCTACCTAACAGAACATTAGGTACCTAAAATGCTCCTGAAGATGGATATTGTTTGTCAGTGTGCCTCCTCTTTTTAGAAAAGATTGATTTTCACTTATTGTTTCTACCTTGCTTGTAAATTTTAATATATCATGATCTGAATCATCCAGATTTTCACTTATTGTTTCTACCTTACTTGTAAATTTCAATATATCATGATCTGAATCATCCAAACTTGGGTCGTTCCATATCAGGTTTAAAAACATTTTAGAGACAGATGTGAACACGGACAGATTTTTTTCTGCGTAAGAATGTTCGTAAGCGGTGGAAGGAGTTCAGATGAGGTGGTAAACATTTGCACGATGTTTATAATATTTTGCATGGTATCGTTTCAGTTAGGAAAATTTTGCTTTGATAGCAATGAGACTGAACATGATATGCCAAATTGGCCGTAGATGATTAAGACTAACAATGACAACTTTATTCTAAAACTGGCTTGATTGGAAGTGATGGGCGCCACGCCACAGCCATCCTACATCATGGAAATATTTACGGCCTTTTACAAACTCCCTTGAGATAGCAAATCATACTTTTCAAATAGACTTTTCCTCACATTGTAACCTACTATTGCTCAATGAGACTAATTGTCACACAGAGGTTAGAAATGGCTAGAATAATAGTCAAAGAAGTAAAGATGATGGTGCTGGTGTTAGATGATACATACCTTGCTTGGCTGTGACTAGAGTTTGTTAAAAACCTTCATTTATGAATAAACATTGTAAGCTGCTGGGTAAGTACACTTGTTGAGGAGTATTTGTTTTTATTTTATCATATTTGTTGGTTAATTAATCTAAAATCTTAATCAAGTGTTGTATCGTCGCAGGTTCTGCTGTGAGTGTGAGCGTAGGCTGGGCTCAGCAAGAGGTGTGGACGAGTTAAGAGGTGGTGTTCCATTCTTCCGAGGGGTCGATTGGGATCACATCCGTGAGCGTCCGGCCGCTATACCTGTCGAGGTCAAGTCCATCGATGATACGTCCAACTTTGATGACTTCCCCGACGTCAAGCTAGAAATTCGTAAGTAGTCCTCCTCTATTACTAAATTGTCAATTCTTAATTTAAACTTGATGTTCAATTAAATAGGTCTCTGTCAAATATCCCTGCTGCAGCAAACCTGCAGAATATGCCAATTTCAACGTGATCTATTAAATGTTGATTAAAAGAAAGCGTATTAAAAGGAATATTACTTTTAGAACACCCAGTCTAAGTCAGTCAAGTAGTGGCAGAGGTAGAGGGAGATTGTGATTTTTTTCTTGTACCCTTTTTCAGTGATAAAGTAACAGCAAAATGTATTGTTTCAACTACCTAGTTTAAGTTTTTCATTACTTGAATCAAAATAAATTAACTAACTACATTATGGATGTGTACATCAATGTAATTCACAGTTTAAGTGGCCTCTTTCAACACCTAGAAGTATCGGTCCACCCGTAACTAATGTTGGGAGACCCCTGTTGGTTAAATAATATATCTCAATCAATTGGTATCCTTCATAGAATTCTAATTTCTGCTTTAAGGTTCATTTTTGGCCTTAAAAATCACTTTTACCACATGTCCTTTCTACAAGCTGCAAAACTATTCCCAATAGATGATATACGTAGGAAGCTGACTTTCTGCCTGGTCAAAAAAGTGCTCAAGCTGGGAGAGCCTCGGTACCTCAGCGAGAGGCTTAAGTACAGGGAGAAAATTTGTCTGTCTAGTACTCGCTCTGACCCCAGGCTTCACTTTCCTTTAGTTTGGAAGAAAGTATTTTTCCTTTTTCGGCGCGCAATGAAAAAAACCAATGTAAAATAAAAATAATTTGAAAGGGGTACTATGGTTTATTTTTTTATATCAAATGTAAAATATATGTTGTAAATTTATTTTGTAGAAATGTTCTGTATATTATTATGTAAATATACTACACTAGTTTAGTTTTAGTTTTGACTTGTGTAAGTTTCAAAACCATTTCATACAAAACTTGCATGTAAATAAAGGCCTTTTTACTTATTAATTAATTTACTTAGGTTTGCAGCTGCAAATTTCTAAAAACATGAAGTGTAGCAAAATTTTTTGAAGAATTATCCGTTGCTTGTTTGAATGGGAAAAAATTATATTAACATTGTTAACTATGTCAACCAAAAAAGTCTGAACTAATTCACGGGGTACAAACAAAACCTTCCTGATAGGGCTGGTGGGCAACTCAATCAAAATATCGTTTAGATTTGCAGGTTTCATCTAGCTAGATCTAAATATTTTTATCAAAACATTAGTTATTGTGCCTCTGAGTCACACACACACACACACACACACACACACACACGTAACTATTTGAACGACAATGCTTTTGTTATCTGGGTAAATTCTGAGATGAAAAAGTCCTGAGGTCCCAAACATAGGTCTTCTCATCTAATGACGATTACCATGATTACTTTTTTCTACTCATAGGGAATTCCCTGAAGTAGTGTCAGTAGTGAGCCTGTACCAATAATGTTTTGAAGTTTTACAATTTTATATCAGTTGTAAGGGTTATATGGAAACTACTGGGGAGTGAGCTGGCGTAGTGGCTAGAGCGCGGGACTCCAGTCCCTGAGGTCCCGGGTTCGATCCCCGCCAAGTCACCAATGGATTTGATCTATGTGATAATGCCGCAACCCCTAGGTCTAGCCTGAAGTAATGTGAAAAACAATCCCAGGCTCGTGCCTAGCGTCCTAGGACAAAAAAAAATATGAAAACTACTAATTAGGGAAATCTTGTATTTATTTTTCCAATTCTTTAATATTTGAATTGTGTTGTTTCAGCATCCGCACCACTGCCGCAAGACGAAGAAGTCATTTATAAGGACTGGGTATTCATCAACTATACGTTCAAGAGGTTCGAAGGACTAACTCAGAGGGGAACCCCCACCAAAAAGTAGCAGATCTCTCAATCACCTTCCAATGTGTGAATGGGTGTAGCAACATCCTGCCCGGACAAGTAGCAAAACACTCCTACTAGCTAATCAATTTAGTCGCAGCTTTGTCTTTTTTATATTTTAAAAATTTTATTACAGTTATGTTTGGAAATCTTATTATTTTTTAACTTTGGCAATATTTTTGTAGTACAATTTTTGTTATAGCGTAACGATATATTATTGTTCGAATCTTAGTGTGTAGCCATCCGCTTTTAGTTCCACGAAGTTATCGCTCGAGGACGATTATTTTAATCGATAAACCAAATAGCTTTGATTAATTTCAATATGTTTTTGAATGAGATTAGTAGATGTACTTAGTGATATATGGTGGTTGGATGGTTTGAATTCGGTCGGTACAGTTCTTTGTTTTCGTTATTGTGTAAAATACACGGTAAACCTTTTTAAAATTCTGTACGGTGTGTTAGTTGTGGATGATTGGGAAAAATCTGTGTAAGAAAGTCTGTGACAAGAGTCTTTTGAAACTATTTTCTCACTGATAACTTTGTACTTTGTGTGGAATTGTGATCCGACCGTTGTGTGTAACTTGTTATCTCGTTGTTGCTAAGCTAAGAGCTGATATTGGCCAACCTGTGGATTTTTAATATATGATTGTTTTCCCCTGATAAACCATCAACACTTACGATATCAATAGTGGATAATTTTCCAGATCACTAGAATCGATTTAGTATATTGTATACATCGTACCAAAGGTACTTTAAGTTATAAAAATAATCATAGTTATGATACACTTTTAATGCTTTTGTAATTATTGTCTTTCTTATTTATTGTTTAAGCCAATGACATTGATTTGTGATGCTGTTAGGTGTGTTACACTCTTTAGGCATTGATTTTTTGTAAATATGCTTTTTTGTTTTAAGACATCTAAGAGTAAATATTGTATTTTGATATATATTGGTTTCTATTGTCCTTGTTTTCCCTGTAATTTTAAGGCAAGTTATAATAAATATACGTTATAGTTTGAACTGTTATGTTGTATCTTTTTTTAAACTATTTAAATGGTTAATGTGTTCACATTTTCTTGCAAAGCAGTAAGTGTAAGTAAAAGATACTATTATGTAACATGTCTTGTTTTGACAGTTGAGCTCAGCCCTGGGTATTTGTGGTAATTTTCTTAAGACTGCTTGAAAATTGATTTAATAAAATATGTGTCCCTTAGAAAAAGAACAATTAACTGTTAAATGTTGAAATAGCTTTCTAACACCAACCCTGTTATCGCCGTAGGTGGAATGAACCTTCAACCATTGCTGTGCTGTATTGGATGAAGGCTTATTCCAACCATAAACTATTGGAGGCTATTTGGAGGATGATAGACTATATCTCATGTAGCTGTAATGTGAAGTGTAAGTGTGAACCTCCTAGTCAAGATAGCCCGTCCTCATAGTAGTAGGGAAGCTCTTCAATGGCTTAGCACCCACAATTAAGCATTGTGTAGTTTCAAAGAAGTAGTGTCTACTTAGGTGAATTCATTTAGCCAATGCATCAAAGCAATGGATATTCCTAAAAGAACAGATGGAATTTCACTAAATAAAACTTAAAGAATTTGTTGTAAAACATTTCTAAGCTTTACTTGGTTATATTCAGATGGTATTAGTAAATATAAATCCCATAATTTACAATACAGTACTTTTACTACTGAAAAATAACGTGCTCTCTTAATACTGACAGGTAAAGACGACAGTTAGTTGAAGTTTCAAAAATTTGTGTCAAAGAAACTTGAAGTAAAACGTTATCAAAGTAGGGTACAACTGCCGACTCTTTTAGTTTTGAATCACATTCTGTAATAGTAGTTTACACAATGATTGCGTAAAGATAATGTTGATGAAACAAGTAGAAAATTTAAGGTACAAGCCTTGGCGAGTGTTTAAGTTACTGAAATCAAAAATCACACTACTCTTAACTTCTAAGAGAGGTTATGTTTTTGATTATAACACTCAACAATTAAATTGACCTGAACAGCTGATTAGTTGAAGTTTGAATCATTATAATTTAACTTCTTTTCTCTCAATCCTTGAACCTCATTGGTCGTTATCTGTGTTGTTAAGTAAACATATGCTGTTATGTGAAACTTTCAATTCTAAGAACTGTACTGAAACGGCTACTTTAAAAAACGGTCGTAGGTAAAGTTTATTTAAATGGGTTTAGAAATGGTACAACATATCCCTTAATTCCAAGGTAATTGTTACCTTATTTTCATTGTTTTGGGAACTTGAACGAGATTTTATTTAACTTGGTAAGCCTGAAGGAACATTGCAAAAAAGCTAGTTTGACGTGACTCAAGAGAAAATTATCTTAAAAAGAATTGTTACATTGAAAAAAGAATATTTTTTTAGTAGTCGCTTTTATATATTTGAAGAACTTACTTGCTATATTTGTTATACAGGGTGGAACGAAGTTAGTGTTAAAAAAATTTATGTGTTAAACTAAGTATTGGTGACAAAATGGAACCAATTTAAGTTTCCATGCCCTCACAGGTAGGGAATAACAGACAATTTAAGATTTTTCAAAATATTTGTACTTACTTACATAAAATGGCCATAAGTGCATTAAACATTGTTTTATTCCAAATCCATTGTCATTTTCAGAATCCTCGTTAAATTTCCAATAGTAATAGTACAAATTTATTGAGATTAAACGTCTGCATAAGCCCTTATTTGGCTATGGAAGTTTGAATTTGTGATTTTTTATGAATAAGTAATAACTTTTTCCAAAGTTTTTCTATACTACACTGGACTGTAGAGAGTGTCAAATATTACTAAAAACTTCTGCAGTTAATAACCTTTAAAATGATGTATAAACATCTACTGTTCCTTTGATTTGTCGTTCTCAAATTTAAGAGTTTCTCATGAAAAACACGGAACGGCTAATGCTTAATTTCCTTTAAAAAAAACATGTATTTTATGATACGGCAGCAGCTGCTTTAAAAATCATGTTTAAATGGGTATTATTGCAATTTTCAGAATCCTTGTAAAATTCCTAATAAGAATATTGAGGAATTGTTAGGATTAACACTTTATGAAACTATGTTTTGTGATGAATTTTCATTTAGGGGTTTTCTTCTTATTTATTGGAATAAATTAAATATCGTTTACGGTGTTAATTCTATGGCACATTCAACCGATGTGCGAGATTGACTTAAAGCAAAATACACAACTTGAATGATAAGAATGATAATGATGGGTCATATGGTGTGGTTTGCTGGCATGCCAGGTCGCCAGACCTAAGTCCACTAGACTTGCTTTGTGTGTTATGTGGAGTACTTGGTCTACTCATCTTTAGTGGAAGATAATCAGGAAATTAACTACTGGATAATGAATGCAGATGTGCTAGTCAGAGGAACATCGTATTTTAATGTTACTGTTGGTGCCACGTGCAAAAAAAGCTTGGCTGTGTATCTGGGAAAATGGAGGAGATTTTGAAAAAATAACTCAAGTAGTTGGCATCAAATAGAAGGCAACTATTAAAACGTCAAGGAAGTAAGGAACAGTTATTTAAGTTTCGAATATTGTGTGTTTTAGAATTAACTTTTAGTTTTTGTATAAATAACTAAAACTAAGTATTTTTGAGGTGTTAACAATTATTTTAGTTAAGAAATATATCACTAGACTGAGTTATTTCCATTAGCATGTGTCTAAGCACTACAATCAATTAATTGGTATACTATACTTAGGTTAATTTTCGGTTTTCGGTAAACATATTGACAACATTGTAAAGTGTAGTATCTACATAATTTTATATGCTACTCCATTGGAAGTATTTGCTTAGGCTTAAAAAAAATCTTAAGTTAAATGTACCATGTGTAACTTTAAACAATATTCAATGTATTCAAAAAATAAAACTAATTTAACACGTTTTCACAAAACATACGTTTATATGGATGTTAATCCTAATAGATCCTTAACATTCTTACAATAAATCTAACAAGGATTCTAAAAATTACAATAGACCCTATTCAAATATAACTGTTATTGCAGCTATTGCCATATTATTTAAGCAAATACATGTTATTTTAAAGGAAATTAAACATTAGCCGTTCCGTGTTTTTCATGAGAAACTCTTAAATTTGAGAACGACAAATCAAAGGAACAGAAGATGTTTATACATCAATTTAAAGGGTTTTAACTGCAGAAGTTTTTAGTAATATTTGACACTCTCTACAGTCCAGTGTAGTATAGAAAAACTTTGGAAAATGTTATTAATTGTTTATAAAAAATCACAAATTCAAACTTCCATGGTCAAATAAGGGCTTATGCAGATGTTTAATCTAAATTAATTTGTACTATTACTATTGGAAATTCAACGAGGATTCTGAAAATGACAATGAATTTGGAATAAAAACAATGTTTAATGCACTTATGGCCATTTTATGTAAGTAAGTACAAATATTTAGAAAAGATCTTAAATTGTCTGTTATTCCCTACCTGTGAGGGTATGGAAACTTAAATTGGTGCCATTTTGTCACCAATACTTAGTAGTTTAACACATAAAATTTTTTAACACTAACTTCGTTCCACCCTGTATTTTGATAACTTGCTTGGATCTGTTTTTAACCTTTAGTTATTCCATTCTAGTTTCAGTTGCACACAGTTACTATCAGCTCAAGTGAAATAATAAAACACATATAAATCAACCTGCCCCATTTATTTTTGGCCAAGATTTTATCAACATTAAAAAAAGAAAACAATACAACACCATGAAGGCAAGGGTAGTGCATAAAAAATTAACAATATTTAACATTTTGATAAGATATAAAACATAGATGTAAAACATATAACATATTTTTAAGTAAATTAAAGCTGATTGGATAAATATTTTACATAAATAACAAAGAAATAACATGAAATATTAACAAATACATAGTACCTAGTATAAACAATTTTCAACAAAACTACGTCAGCGAATGGTCGAAGCAACAACAGACACAAGATGTTACAAGGAACATGAAACATAAAACTGTCACAGTCAAAACACTATGGAAAACGCCTTTAGGTGGCATTGCCTTACTTTAGGGGTGAAAGTAAACTAAAACATTCTGAATCAATAATGATGCCAATATTTTTAGAAACTTGTTACTTTGTTAGTTATAAAGGATATGATGATTATCTGAACTCTTATATCACCCTGACTCATTAACTTACTTCCACGATGACTGGATCAAGTTTACACTTAAATATTGATTACATTTACCTATATTTCACAATGGTGTTCTGTTAGGTAAACTAATATTTAAAATCTTTACTTATCAATCCAAGCACACTTATAAGCTCGCAAATCAATTTTGACATTCATTTTTACTTTAAAAATTTGTTGGATCCGGAAATTAACGAGAAAGCCATTTACAGAAACCTTTCATAGCTATTTTTGCATAATATAAATGAATAATATCAATATAGAAACCTGCAAAAAATCTTAGTTGAAATTTTACAAAAGTAAAGCTTTGTAATAATCCCTAATAAACAATTCCTTCACCTTAGTCTGATTCCATAGTGTTTTCATCTGTTTTATCAAGCTGGAATGATTTAAATAACCAATTATTATTACAATGAGTTATAGCTCAAATTGATTGTCATTATGATTACAAAGTTATAAAATAAAGCTACCCTATTGCTCAGGTTATAGTTTATCAACTAATGGTATACACAATTTTTTTCTAAAAGAGGGAATGAACAAATTATTGTTAGGGTTTCATGTTTCTTCGTTCCCATTAACTTAAAAAAGGTTTAAAAACAACCTCTTTAAACAAAACACAACGTAAATGTAAAATTTGTAGGGGGATCAAAATTGAGATTTTTTAAATCTTGACGACAACTACACAATTATTATGTCATGAGAATTAAATTTATTATTAGTATCTGAAAACGTTACTTTAAATTTGTACTTTATACTACTATAAAATTGATTAAACAGTTTTTAAAGTATTCAGGACTTTTATTGTATTGTTAGTTCTTTTTTTTTAATGTGTATGTTTTCATTATTCTTATATAATTCTGCACCTAAAACAGCTTGAAATAAATTGCATACACTTTTTTTAACATTGCATTTTTATTGGTTTGGATGAACTAACTTAAAATGATAATAGTGATTTTATTGTATTTATAAGGCCTTTGTTGAAATTGGCTGCATGGAAATGGGCGTTAAGAATTTTTCAGCAAGGTTGCCAAACACTTTTTCATTATTAATAACTGATATGATTTCTGTTAGACCATTCTTAAGAAGCTTTCTACAATTACATACCAATTAGGTAGGCTAAATATAAAGGTTATCATTTCATAAAGAAATCTCAATCAAGGGTTGGTAGAATTTTAAAAGGTAAATATTTTTTTCTGAAACTAAACATTCTCATTCAAACACAATTACAGATAACATACATTAGTTTTTAATATTTACCAGTGTATTATTGCTTAATAAGTTTAAAGTAATAATAATTGGTTAAAACATGATAAATCTTATACTTTGAAACACATAAAAAAACATTTATCATTTTAACATTACCTGTTATAGTTAAGTTGTACTAGTAAAGGATGATTTCTATTTAGAAATACAAAACATTTTTGCTCCTCCATATTTTTAAGGATATCATCTTAGTTTTAAATTAAAACATATTAAAGAGACCATACATTGATAGAAAGAACAAAATGATCACTCATTAACCAACATTCAGTACACTAAGTATAAAACCATTTATTCACTAGAGTGTAAAATGTAACATTACAATTCAGTGAAAAATTGAACACATATAAGCCGACAATCATAAAATTCAGTTAATACCTGAGGAACACAGTGAGTATTTCAACATTTCTAGACCATTAAAATTCTTAATACTATAACTTTTGATTTTTTTTTAGAAAATATGATAAATAAATTACATGAAATACTGAATAAGTGATAAACAACAAAAGGAATGTATGCTTTTATTTAGTTAGGTGTTGCATTTTATAAGAAAGTCGGATGAAAATAAAAGTAGCCTACCCTGTATGGAAAACATACTGGTTAAATTATATATTTGCATTAAAATTTGAAACAAATTTATAATTTACACTTAGAACAGGTACATTTTATAGTTTTTTTTTTTTAATAAATGATTTTGTAAACACTTTAAAACTGAGAGTATGAATGATTATTCTAATAATATTATCTCAGAGAGCGTCAAAATGGGCCCTGACTCTCTTATTAATTAATTTATAAAAACATCTTGACATTTCCTGCCAGTAGCTTATTTCTAAGTTGTAGTTTATTTTCCCCTAATCCTCGTTGTTTGCCACTCCCCCGCAGAACGCTAGATTCAAATGCTACCTGGTTCCTTTAGAAGAGTTACAATTTTTTCACTAACCAAGTATTGAACTACCACTACAAGCGTCAACACTAGTTACTAACCAGCCGATAAGACTTCAGTAGTAAAAAAATCTTCAAAACATTATGACAGTCAAAGCCACCACTACCTAGAATAACTTGAAAATGCATTTGTTTAATGGGCTGTTAAACTTATAAACTAAGTCACTGTTAACTTTACTAGTATATATCTTATAAAAGAATTAAATAAACTGATGAATACTCCTCTACAGCACTTATTGTACGTCCACTACTACGTTGTTATTCTAGGTAGCAAGAGTGTAATAGAATAAATAATAATGAGTTAATGACAAAAGGTTTCATATCAACCTGTTTCTAATTTTCAAAAATTATCTTATACAATAAGGTACTTAGTTTATTATACTTGTTATGCTTTTAAAATGTTTTATCTTTGTTTTCAGTTTAGAAACTGATTATAAAACTGTTTTTGGTTTAGAAGAATTTATAGCGCCTAAAGCTTAAATGGAATAACTGTATTCAGTAAAAACTATTACTGTCGTTAGCGGTTACATAGTTTTCAAAACATAGAAACAGTTTCAAATTGAATTGATGGACAAGAGATTAAAACAATGATCTATAGTTCCTCTATGGGTAAAAAACAAAGCTACAACCAATAAGAAATATTTTAAGGGAACCAAACAAACAAAACACCCTTAGTTGGGTATTATTGTCTAATTGTATAAACCAATTATTGTCAGTTTGAGTATTTAAGCAAATTATCATTAATTATGTAATTCACAAATAGGCTACATTGATTCACAACTCAAAATTTTACTAATGCTTAATGGCTTTAAAATTATTTTTTAAGGTGAAATGAATTTCAATCAGAAAATGATTGTTAGAAATGTCTTTTGAAATGTACAACAGCGTCATGTTGGCACAGTATAATTGTGAGGTTTTGATTTTTGAGTCGTCTGATACAAGATATAGTCTTACTTATAGATTTTTGCAGCCGTTTTAACTCCAAATAAAGTATGATATCAAGCTATAATATACCATAACGAGATTAATGTTGGCAAACTACAAGGCCAGTTTACTATTAAGTAGTGAGTGCATTGTATAACATTTACAGTTCATATCACACAGCTTTATTCAAATTGTGTATTTCATCAAATCTTAAATAATCAGTTAGCGATACTTTTGGTACATTTTTCAAGTAATTCCACTCAAAGGAATGAAATCAACATAACAAGGAATGTTTTTTAAAGAAAGTGTTTTAACTTGTTTACGACTCATGTCTATATACATTTTACAGTATTGTAAGTATGTAACGTAGCATAAACTATTTGAAACAAAGTAAAACTTTTAAGAACAAAAACCGAATCTAATAAATTGAATAATTTCTATTCAAATTTAAAATGCTTAACATCTAATGGCTTTTGAAGCCGGGTTTCCTGACGGTTATCACAGTTTTAATTCAAGTTTTAACTTGAAAATAAAATTACATATTACTTTTTCTGAAGCATAATTAATTTGGGTGATTTACTTTTAATTCAGATATACGCTGACTTAAACAAGTAGGCCTAAAGTTTTATTTAGAGCATTTGCTCATACTATATTTTCAAACCTAGTATTTAATTTAAATTAGGTAAAATGACTTGTACACTTTAATGCTAAATTGTGAATCAGAGTGAAAAATGCAATTTTTTTTTATCAATAATGATCATCTACTCAACCAATCTAGATTATTTTAGAAAATTTGTGTTGTTTTTATGAAACATTATTCTAAGTACTATGCCTATTGAACCCTTCCATGATATTAGTTCAATAACTTAGAAGACAAAGTTGTCACATGACAATAGTTATAGAAAGATCAGATGCTGTATTGTATATGTGCTGGAAGTGGCTGTAGCACAGTAAGGCATGTAATATTTTGATTAGTGTAGGAAGTTTTGTCTTTTACACTTTTTACATAAGGTATATATATTTGTATGTATTTAAATTTAAGTACTGAACCCTTTTCCCCAAAAGGATAAATTAAATAAGAAATTACTTACAATATAGAACAAAATCTATTTAAAGCTACTATGTATTTTGAAATATCTTATGTACATAAATATTATATTCACAATAAATTAAATAGTTCACAGTCTTTGTTAAGAAAAGTCGTCCCTGAAGACTAACCGATCGGATTCTAGTCACTGCTGAGTCAGTTTTTGTACTATCACAACATCTGTGTAAGTACCGAATATCTAGCGACCGACGATGAAACTATTCGAGTTACTCGCTTACGCTTACATTAAAAACCTAATACTCTATGCGATTCAGATACTATATCTATATTTTAAAATTTAAATTTAAAAGTCTTTAACATCGCTAAAACAATACTCAATTTAGGCTACAAGCACATAGCTCTGTTGTGTCGGGAACACCTCTCATATCACAATGAACTCAAAAAGCATTTGTCTAGAGCGAACATGTATAACTGCATGCAACACGAAATACCCTTACAGTTATTAGTCTTACTAACACATAAGGTTGATGGCTTGCAGCCTACAACATAGATCACAACCGGACTCGTGAGCTGTGCAAAGTTCGTTTGCACATCGACATTAATAATACTCGAGAAATTGCGATTCGAGTCGAAAAGTGAACACATTTTGTGAGGGAATTATTCGACAAAAGACACAAGCGGATTGCCTCGCCATCGATTGATTGGTCAAGCAAATAACACCCACCCTCCCACCCAACTAGCTTAGATATAAATAGAATAAAATTAATAAATCGTATAACAACAACAAAATAATAACATTCGATCAACAGAGTTATTTACAAGAGCGGAGAATATACAATAGAGCAAGATGATAGTTGATGTCAAAGGAACCGAGAGCGGCCTATGGTAATGATATGTTTTGTCCTGTGTTAGTATTGCGTTGAGATCACCAGAAGCTGGCCCTAGTTGAGCAAAGAGGAAAGAATCCAGTTCCAGAGTTTCCTACAACAGAAATCATTATCATTTATGTGAGATGAGTGTTGGCGTTGCAACTTGCATAAAAGCTATGCATAGGAACGACATTTTTTAAACAATGTTTAGCGGTTCCCTGATAAAACTGAAATTTTAAGAGTGCTGAAAACTAAAACTGTTGTGTTTTTTGAAGAGCCTTGAAGAAAGTTGTATCAGGTTGATTCCTCTTAATAAACAACAAGGTGTGTCATGTTACGGCACTGTTCTATACTCACAATTCACTGTAGATCTTCTTCACACTTGGGGATGTCGAAGATCTCTGCAAACAACGGAGGTAGCCGCAGCTGGTCCCAGTGTGTCCGGAACCAGTCCAGGTGAGCCGAGTGCTTCGCTCCGAGATTGCGAAGTTCCGGCAGCTTGAGGAGAATGTTGGATATCAGCTGAGACTCCCCCGAATGGTTCCTCCCCAGCTGGAAAAACAACAGAGGGTGTTTTAAAACATTGTACAGTGTAGAGTCCCTCAAACTCAGCGTAATGTGGACTGGAAGGGTGCCGAGTTTTTGAAATGCCGGGTTATCGGGAACTAGGGTTAAAAATAAGAACAATACAATTTTAAAACTTTTTAACCACCTTTTTTATTTATATTTATATTACAAGTCATTATGTCATCAGATATAGTACAACAAATCCTAGGTACAAGTTGTGAATGATTTGATTTGAGCTGGCTTGAGTCCATGTTTAATATAGACTCTAAAAATCACTAATTATCTGAGCCAGGTGATGGCCGAGTTATCCAGACTGCCGGGTTATCGAGTGCCGAGTTTGCAGGACTCTACTGTAATAGTAAAACTTTTTATATCATATTTTTATTGAAAAATCTTAAGTACCGGTAACACTGTTTGAAATCTATTTTTTAATAAATAAGAAATGGTTTCTTTTTGCGTTTGCTCTGGGCAAATGCCAAATTTACTGGAAAGATCATGAAGAAATTTTGCACAAAGATAGCTACTGTACTGAGGTATGTTGCTGTTTAGTTTTTTCCCAAGATGGGGCTGAAATGAGGAGGGGCTTTTGAAAATAGATGTTTTGAAATAGTCACCGTGGCAACCAAAAAGAAAGTCTCAGTCTGTACAATATGTACTCTGGATCACTTTTTTTATGGATCATATTTTGTGATTGCTCTGGCTATTACATTTCAATCAACTTATACAAAACTTGCCTCTTGTTACACACTATATTTTTCCTACAGTTATTAACGTTACTACTACAAAAACACGTACGTTTGTACTATAAAGCATACAAATACAATTAGTCTTTCAAACACCGTACAACAACTTTTTATTTTAGGTTAAATCCAAAGATTGAACAAAATGGGAAATGCTGCACCAGCTGATTGTAGTCAAAGATCTTAAAGTGTTGCAAATCTATTTCCAAGCGTGCACGGATTACGTGCATAATAAAAGCACGCTGTTTTTTTTTTTGTTTGGTTGGAATACTGGTGTGCAAAAAAAAGTAAAAACTGTGCGACAAAGTAAAAAGTGTGTTTTAAAGTAAGGAAATGCAACAATTAGCAGCTTTCTGTACTATAATCAGTGCAAGAAAGCCCACCTTGTCGGGTGACTATAGTAGGAAAAGAAAATTTTTTGATAAAACCTTTCACTATTGATACAACTAGACATTCCATCCCCTTGTTGAAGTTGAATTGCCAGTTGTTAAAATGAAAATCGTCGTAGTTGATGTGGGCCACCGACAGATTGTGCTAATGCAAATTACTGATTTCTGTCGCATTCACGAACCTTTTTACCAATGTCAAACTTATTGTGAGCTATAGAAACTGTTATGACCCATCAAATATGTAAGCAACAATAAATTTGGTAGAAAATATTATTTTAGATACTAGCGCATTCTGTGACTGCCTCACAAAACTACTTTCTTTTTTTATAAGAAATTGGCGACAGCTGGCCCATATAGATGGGATGTCTACTTCAGTATCCACTAGCCAATGGTAATACTAAGTGGTGGAATTGAGTTTCTTTAACCATAATGGTGGGTTCACATAGCTTTTTTAACAATACTTTTTACTTCAATTTTCATAATGTAAAAGGGGACAATTTTAAGGAGAGCTATTCCCACACAAACCTCTTTTCTTCAGGACTGTAACTTTATGGAATTATTGAGGATTTAAAATCTTTATTAAAGTCTCTGATATTGGCGATATTGTAGCAAAAATAAATCAAAATGACCAATACCTACGTACTATAGACAATAGACAGATTTCTTTATTGTTATTTACTTCAAGAAAAACAATAGTGTCGTCATGTTTGTTTCGATCTCTTGCTTTACAGGTGTTTCTAGGGCTACTTAACAGCAACTGTCCACTTACTTGTACTTTTAACGCTTCCACAAGACGGTCTTGGAAGTGTTCAATGGCCTTCACATCGGTCACTCCCGGTCGATCGGCCGACAGGAGAACAATCGCTGAGAACAAACCGATCTCTGTATCGTTCAGCGACATTGTGTTGAACGAGCTTGCAAAGTGAAACAGTGACGAGACAAACTCATTCTGGAATCAAACATAAAAAATAATTCATAACTGCCAAATTTTTCAGTCTGTTTAATGTACATTCGGTGGCTGCCGAGATACACGTATGCCGGTGATAAACAATACATATACATGTATAACGTAAAAATTGCTGATTAAAAGAGACACAATTCATTGACAAAAATGTATACACATCATTGGAATAAGGTTGTCAACGTCAACACTTTTCAACCACAAATATAAACTTGTCTTAGTATGCAAAACTACAGATATTTTCAACGATCAAAATAATTTTGGTGTAATTTGATAACATTTACCACGCAATATTTTTGAAAACACCCCAAAAAAGTGTTTTTTAAATATTTAAAGAAAATCTGTTAATCTCTGATATGAGCTTAATGTTAACAATTTCCCATGAAAATTTAATCATAAGTAGTTCTTGAACAAAGATCATGTTCAATTTCAACAAATTTTTTTTTCAGGTGTAGGAACCAATATCAGATGAAGGAAATACTTACATCATACATAATTTCCATCTGTTGCCTTGTAACATACGTTCCGTCAGCAAACGTTAATGATGAGTCGGAAACCAGCCTCGCTATACAAGCTAACCATAACTCGAAGAACCCAACTTTGATTAAAATGAGTTGATCGTCTTGACTGAGTTCACAAAAACCTGAAACATAATTAATAACAATTATATAAGATAATAGGTCTATCAAAATCAGCTATTCATGAATGATAACATAGGTAGTAAAACTAACATTTAAATAGATGAAATTGTAATTAGTTTGGTTAGGTCTGTTGCTAGCCTAGTGGTTAGTGTCTCAGACTTCAAACGCGGGATTGACAGGTTCAATCCCCGGCACATCCACTAAACATTTATTTATTTCGTTGACCTTCAGTAAAATGCCATTGGTTTAGAAAAAAATGTTGGTAAAAACAATTCCGTTGAATATAACATGAGTCATCACAGTTAATTTTACTTGGGCATAGAAACAAGGAGCATTGTTAATACAGCCCAATAAGCAAAAAAAAATGTTAAAAATTGTCAAAACTCGTATTACAGTTAAGTTGTTGTATAACAATTTTAAAACATTTTGATTTTAACTTTATATTGAAACAATTTTAATATAAGATTGAAACAATTTTAAAATTGTTTAACAATCAGTTTTTTTCGGTTAAAAAAATAAGTTTTAATACAAGTTGTAACAATTTTACAACAATTTTAAAATTGTTTAGCAATAAGTTTTTTCCTGTTAAAAAAAATAAGTTTTAATACAAGTTGTAACTATTTAACAACTATTTTAAAATTGTTAAACAATCAGTTTTTTCCAGTTAAAAAAAATAAGTATTAATACAAGTTGTAACTATTTTACAACAATTGTAAAATTGTTTAGCAATCAGTTTTTTGCAGTTACAAAAATAAGTTTTAATACAAACTGTAACTATTTTACAACAACTTTAAAATTGTTTTATTCTTGGTTTTTTTATAAACAATTTTAAAACAATGTTTACATTGTTTACAATACTATTTAACAATTGTTTGTGTAGTTCTTAAAAAAACAAGTTTCAACAATTTTGAAATAAATGTTTTATTTGTTTGATTATTTATGTTTAATCTTAATTAATGGGTTGTATCCTTTTTTGGCCGTTTTTAAATTTGCTTGCTTTTAATTTTAATATATACGAGATAAATAGGTCTTATCAATCATGTTTAAATAACAGCCTATAATGTTTAAATTTTTTAATTGAAAATGAAATGAAGTAGGAAAATTACCTATTAAAATAAAAAAAAATTATGTTTATTGTACAGGTAAAGCATAGAAATTATATAATTCTTCTTATAAATATATATATTTTTTTTAATATAATACAATTCTTTATAATTTTGTAGTAGTTATTACATTATGAATATTGAATTAGGCCTACTTGAATAGGTAAATTCATAATGCATAAGTTACCGATTTTTGTGATAAGTTACCGATGACGTTAATTGTGATAGTTGTGATACTAGATATAGTGATGGAACACCTGCTTAACATATAATAATAATAATAATGCAAACATTTTTGTTGTTTTTTTTTCAGTTATTTGAGCAAATTTTTAGTAGTTGAACAATTTAAGGGGGGGGGGGAGATGAATTAATCATATAACAATAATTATGATAACATTAGCAATGTTAATTAATTCATCTACATTCAAATACCGGTATCCTCCTCAACTCCCAGAAAATCAATTCAACAACTTGAGGCCTAAACATAATCATAGTATCAAGTATTTATTGCAACCATTGCAACTGTCCGCTCCTCTTTTACCGATTGAAAACATGAAATATCAACAACCACAGATAGCTCAGAGGTAAGGTAAGGGATTCACAGTCTGGAGGTCCTGGATTCAAGACCCGGTGGGGCAAGATAATTTTGATTCTAGTTTTTTCTCAAAATTTGTTTTTATGAATTATTTAATCAAAATGCTCAACTGATATATATGCATTTCATACAAAATCTTTATTATTTCGCCTTTAGGATATGCCCATGGGATGGTTGGTCCTATGTGAAAACAATTTTTAACTTGTTGCAAAGTCAATTTTAAAATTGTTGTAAAAACAGTTTTAAAATTGTTGTAAAATTGTTGCAATATAGTTGTAAAACAATTTTTGAACTATTTTAAATTTTGCCGGTTGTCAACTATACTCATATTAATACCAGTTTTAATATAAGTTTAAAATTGATATTAAAACAATTTTTTTCTCGTTTTTCTGCTACTTGGGAGTAGTTACAGAAATGTCTGAAAATTTCATGTTTTTTTAAATTTATATTTTTTTTAAATCTGTTTAGGCCTACCAAACTTTTTGTAATCAAACTCAGACCTGATTTAAACCGGTAGTTGAGATCAAACATTTTTACTTTCTTGTACATTGTGCTTACCAGGAACTCTTTTGGCGAACTCCACTATCCTCTGTACACTAGGGGTGACATGACATGCTAGCTGCTGCCACAGCCATACCCTCTGTTGTTCTAGACTCTCGGCTGTAGAGGTTGCCACCTCTGGACTAGACACCACGGCTGACGGCTACAACACAACACAAAATATTTAGTAGCTGCAGGTGTTTTTAAAATTGTTCAGAAAAAGTCTTCATTGAAGGGAACTGTGGCAAGTCCTTTGAGTTACTTGCCTTAAGCCACTATTACTTGCACTATATTGAACTATTGTAGGTCTGAATAATGTCTGCACAATATGAAAGAAAGAAGTGCAGGCCATCTGTGGTCAGTGATAAACTGATTGAGAAAATCAACACAAAGATTAGTGACAACCGATGATTCACCATTTCAGAACTTTCGGACGAATTTCCACAAATTTCCAGGACTGTTCCGTACGAAGTTGTGACTGACAGGTTAGGTTACCAAAAACTTTGTGCTCTGCGGTGGGTCCCAAAAATCCTTTTGAAAAACCACAAGACTTGACTTAACAAATGACCTTCAGCTCTGGACTTTTTAACTCGATACGACAAGGAAGGAGACATTTTTTTGAACAGAATTGTGACCGGTGATGAAACCTGGGTCAAATACGTGAATCTTGAGACTAAAGGACGGTCTAAGTTGTGGGGTCATATATGGCATCGCCGCACAAACCAACAAACGCCCAGCAAGATTTAAAAAAAAGCTCATGGGAATTGTGTTGCTGCTGGTTTAATTTATGGAACGTGGTGCAACATTCAATACGGATTCATACGTTGAAACTCTGAAGAACCTAAGATTGGCGATCTAAAACAATCGCTGCGGTCTTCTGTCGTCTGGCGTCGTCCTTTTTCATGACAACGCACGTCCTCATACTGCCCAGAAAATCAAGGATGTTTGGGATGTTTTTTCACATCCTCCATATAGCCTAGACTTGGCTCAGAGCAACTATCACCTCTTCAATCACATGAAAAAAATGGCTTGGCTCCCAGTGATTTGACGATGATGAGGAGCTGAAAGATGCAGTCATGGGATTGCTCCAAAGTCCAAGGAAACTATGTTGAAAAGTAGAGGAAAGACGTAGTTTTAAGAAATATATACAGTAGTAAAAATTTTATTTCTACTTCTGTGTTTTATTTATGGAAAAACGGAGGTTACTTTTCGAACAGCCCTCATATTTCTCTATGAAATAATTTTCTTAAGGTTATGTTGTTTTATTTCATTAATCAAACATAAAAGTTAATTATTTAAACAAGACATTGCTTTTGGCCTAGCTTTTTGTATAGCTATAATAGTGTTGAAAGTCCTCCTAGGACTACCTAAGCTTTCCTAAGACTTGATCCAGTTACTCCTGTTTCAGTACAAGCCATATGAGCCATTATCAGTTAAATGAATGCTCAACTACAAATTTTACTGAAATGTTGTTGTTCCTGTGTTCGGCTTCACTGTACACATAAGCCTTGAGTGTTATCTATGCATCATAACAAGTTGAAATTTTCAGTTGTAATATTTCTAAGCTAATCAATTTTATAAATGATTAGGCCTGATATGCTGATATATTTTGTCAGACAATTGCACTGACCGGAATGGCTGAGATGGGTTTGCGCAGCAGTCCTCTTGTCTGCTCCTCCGTATATTCACAGTTGGCTTGATGCGCTTGAGCCACGGTCAGGATGATCTCGTACAATGCAACCCCTAAAACATCACATACATAAGTAATAATCTCAGGATAGAATATCAGATGTTCACAGTTTAGTTTGAGGTGTGTAAAAACAAAAACTGATGTGAGAAAAATACAAACATTTATTGTTTCCCCTGCTGTTGGTCAGGTTGTTTTATTTTAAAATTTTGTTGCTTAAGACAATCCAAAATTTGATCAACCTTACTATTTTAACTGGTAAACCTAAGATACTTAGCTGAGAGATCTAGTGACAAAGTGCTGTTCGCTTAGCACTTACAATGAAATTGGCAGCTCTTAAACATGGGAAGTTAATTGGTATATGTAGTGAATTCTCTCTTTGGTACTTTCGTATTATAAGTACCAGTAACACAAATTTGAATTCAGGAGAAAATAAAACCGTGTTACTAATCTGAAAAGAGTATGTAGGGTTTTTTTGGATTTAGAAGTAGCGTTTGGATCTCTGAATACAAAATTACTTATTGTAAGTTTTAAGGGACACTACATCATTACATCAAAGTATGCTGACCTTTATATATTTATCATTTATTTATTGATATATTTACCTTTGCTGTCCATCTCCGGCGTTGAAGGCATCGGGAGAGGTTCGCTCGAGTCAGATGTAGAAACTCGGGCGTCTTCCTTCTCCCCTCCCTCAGACTGAGGCCTAGATCTCTTGGGCACTCTCCCATACCGAACAGCTGAAAAATTATGTAATGTTACTTCTCACAATTTATCTCGCTCAAATATTTAGTCCCCTCTGATGGTATCCTTGCCTTGATGTGGTGGTGGGGTTTGCGTGCTCTGACAACCTCAAGAGCTATGCCGGTGGTAACGTTATAGCTACTGGTAGGGCCTCCCTTGCCAGCCAGACAGGTCTTCGTGAGGTAGGGGTAGGAGCCAGACAAGAAGGGATACCCGGTCCTCCAGGTTGGGGGTTGAGCGTTGGGTCGACAACCCACATCGTAAAACAAGGTGATCCTTTTGTCGTTCGCCTATTGGGTCTGATGATGATTGGAGTGTCCAATTGAAATCGATCACCACTTACCATCTTTTTTGTATATTTACCATCTTGTGAGTAACAGTATAAGCGTAAATATATGTTTTAAGTGTTATAAGACGTTTCTTTTATTTACATTTCATTTCTTATATTCAATAAAGTCACAGAAAACATATAAAGTAAATGTTGACCATATTCATACACAAATGTGTCTTAGAGTGTCAACGATTAACTTCAGTTTTATTTAGATGGATCATAATTATTTTCCCAATACATTTAAACTTGTGATTGTGGCTTCAAAAATAGTTTTAGAACTTGAAACCATACACCATAAAATACATTTTATAAACGCATCACTATAAACACAGTTTCTCAACCGAAATAATCACAAATCAATTAAAACAGCCCATAGTTTATTGCCTTATATTACTTTAAAAAAACTAAAATAAAAATCATAGAAACTTCTACATTGGCTTATAGAAAGTTATTGATAGAAACTGCTAGAATATAAAACCTCTTTTTCCTGCAAACTTGATTTTTTCAGTTTACTTTACTAGTATATCATTGTTCACTCACAATCTCTGGACATGCCGACTTGAAGGCATTTCTTGAAGCGGCAGTATTGGCATCTGTTGCGGTTGAGTCGGATGACCAGGCACTTTCCGTCTCGCAGACACCTGTACTCGATCTGTTTTTGAATACTTCTCCTGAAGAAACCCTGCAAACATAGTGGTACGTACAAATCAAGTACAAAATAGCTAACAGAGCTACAAATAGTGTGTTTTGGCATTATCTACCCCCATCTTATATATAGAATTTCACTCCAGTGTGAATACGAGGAGACTGTTAGATCTTGTTTGATTTTTTTTATTCATTGAAATAGTAATAAAAGGTTTATAAATTGCAGCATCAGGAATTGTTGGGTATAATTCCTTTTACTTCTCTGTATATATCTGTATATAGCTGTGCATCTTTCAAAAATTAAATTCAGTCTAACAGAGTCATATCCTACAATTATTGGCTGGCTGTACAGGTTGGCTCAAAACAAACCCCGAAGCAGCCATAAGCCTGCTCTATCAAACCACACAGTAAAGGTTAATAACCAAAAATCATTCTAAAGAGATACGGCACTTAATAATAAAGGTGTACGTATTAAATTTCTCACTTATAACTTAGTTTTTATTGCTGGCGGTGGTGGATCATTGTTATTTCAAGATGAAATGTCTAAAAAAGATAGCTTACAAAATCTAGGCACTAAAAAAATATTTAAAAACTACTTTTGTCTACCAAAGCGAACCTGAAAGGATAACTAATTGCAAGCTGTAGCATGTTTTCTCTCACATTAAACATCATAGTACCGTATCAGCAAGTAAAGGAGAAAATAAGACCTTCTAACTCATTTACTATATTATTCTTGGTAACAAAATGGGCCACAGCTGCTCCATATACATGTAAGTATACTCCAGTATCAAAAAGTTAGTTATTTGTACCATAGACAAATAGAATAAATATTGACCGTCAGCTATGCTGCGGTTAGCATAAGTTCTGGCGTCCACCGCTAGGTTTGCCGTGTAGCTACGGCGCACACCGCTGCAGCGTCTGCTGGTCACTTACGGCTCCTGCGCTCCTCGCCTGCAGCGGTGTGCGCCGTAACTACATGGTACTCCTAGGGGTGGGCGCCGGAACATTCCTTTGACAGTATATATTTATTCTATTTGTCTATGTTTGTACTCAGTTACTCAGCTGCTGACTGCCCATCTCATATTAGCAGGGAACAAATGATAAAGTACCAGTGAATTCTGTGAATTAGCTGGTTACTGTACAGTATTGGAAATTTAAAAGGAAAAATTTAGAATGTTTGTACTGTAAAAATGTTTGTCTGGACTCTGGATACAAGAAAAAGCCTACTCAAAGGGGTCAGAGAGTTCTTAAAAATATATTTGATTTCCTTAGGGTTGATCCAGCAACCTTCTGATAACTTATATAAGTGACTCCTTCCATACCTTGCATCCCTCGCAGGACGTGACCCCGTAATGGTAGCCGCTCGCCTTGTCCCCGCAGACCTTGCACGGAACAAACGACTTGGCCGGGGTGGAGCTGTTGGAGTCTGCCGCCGCGTAGTGTTGTTCTGCAAAAATAAAGATTTCATTATACCTCACTGTATTCAAGTAATGATTTACTAAATGTCTAAATGGAAAATAAATGTTTTCGAAGGAAACATTTAGGTAACTGAAGAGTTACCTAAAATACCCCACGATGCAGCAAACCTGCCGATTAAGCAAACTTAAATTTACCTGGCTGGATTTCTACTAAAATATTCCCTGAAAATTTTCAGATTTATTTCCTATTTAAATAACATTAATTTTAGTGAGTACTTAGGTTTGCTGCTAAGGGGAAGATATTGAGGGGCGTTTTTTATTGTAATGTTGATAGCTTGGTATGAAATAAAACAAAATTTCCAAATTTGGTTAAAATTTATCCATAAACGAGCAAACTGCAACAGTTTATTCTCCATAAGCATAACATGGAAATTTAAAATTTACAATTTTTTAAATTATCTCCGTAACCGTTGGGCTTAAACAACTTTTCAATATACAAATTATTTCTTTTTAACCTCTACAAAATGGTTTGGAGAGACATTATGAAATTTTGTGGTTTTAGAGTCAAAAATGGGAAAAATCTATTTTTAACCCATAAACTCCCGTTCCCATAGTACCATAGATCATGCTGGTTCGCTAACTCATTCAAATGTACCAAATTTCATCACAATCGGATCATTTTTGCTCTCGAGTTATTGCACTAATGGACACATATAGAACAATCCATACTATAAGTAAAGTTTGCCTACAATGATTTAAAAAATGGCTCCTATGATTTCCTCCAAATTGTTTGAAATATCTTATTTTTGGGCTGAAAACAGTATCCATGCCAGGCTCTGTTCTCGCAGAATCATTTTTTTATTAAAAACTTAAAATGAAATTTTAATATTTTAACATTAGTCTTATGAACTGTCAAGTAGCTATGACAGTTTTACGAAAATGTAAACAAATGGATTGTAGTAGAGTGAAAATTTAAAAACGTACGTTTTCATGTCCCTGGCCTTTTACTTCGTAGATACTGGATTTGTAGTTTATAATTATGTGTTTTAATACTTTTTGGGACGGGGGCAACATGTTACACACATTTATTTGGTTTTAAATAGGTTCTAGGTATTTTTTACGTAATTTTAAAGTCTCGAAATTCACGACCATGACGTGTCCCTAGGGTACATTTTCCAACTTTCACGCTGTTTTTAGACTAATTATTCATGCCGAAATATATAAAGCCATATTTTTATGTCATCAATGGTTATTAAACTTACAAAAAGGAGCATATTATAATTTTATTGTCATTGCAAACTGACTACCATGACAAAATAAGTCTGTCCCTCGATTTGGCGTCACGACCATTTGGGAAAAATTTTCAACTTTGGAGCACGACAGTGGCAAGCCTGGCGTCGATGGAGTCAGTTGGTTTTAGAGACTAGTTCGGGGTGTACGTCAGGATTGTAGTGCCGGTCGTTTCGAGTTGAAAGGAGGAATTACAAGATTAATAAAGGAAAGATTGTGTTTTTTGTAATTTTGGTGTGTCCATGACCGTACGTAGTCATTTGATGAAGTAGACATGGTGTTAATTTTTGTTTATAAGATATTTCAATTGCTAGATTAACCTAGAAGTCCACTTTGTATCCTCAAACATGAGGTGCAGGGCTACCGCCAGAACAGAGCCAAATATCACGTAATTTCACGACCAAAGTTTCACGACCATCGCGGGTTTTTTCACGACCAATCCAGCCTTATGGATTATAGTGTGTTTGGTCGTGACAATAACTTTAATATAATTGTAATTTGAACAGTTTAGTTCAATTTAAACACTTATTTTTATTATAACTAACAGTATAATTCAAGGATTGTTTAGAAAGATTTAGATTATTTCAGAAAATTCACGACCGTACCGCTTGTCCCTGACCATCACGTTTATGATTTCTATCATAAAAATTTCAAAAATTAAATTATCGTCATATTTCAATGTTTTATACACAAAAGAAGCACACCTCCTATACAAACATAACGATTTTTCGGGTCTCAGGTAAGTTTTTTCGGAGTTATACAAACTTTAAAAGATATTATTGGCTTTTTTTCAATTTTTTGAGTTTTTTTATTTTTTTCTAGAAAGACCAAATATACCAAAAGCTCAGTGACCTTTTTATTGTATAATGGTCATAAAAGTAAATTAGTTTATAGCAAAACATAGTTATAAAAATAGTATTAACTATTTTTAATATTCATTTAAACGTCTGTTATGGTCGTGACAGGATTTTGTGTTTTTCCACTAAAGATGCTCTTTTTAAAAAAAATACCAAAGATATTGCGTTACCATGGACATTTTATGAAACTTCAAATGTTAATAAAATAAAAATAATAATAAAAGTTTTGAAAAAAGGGGGAAAAAATTTGCAAAGTGCTTTTCCTGAAAACGTACGTTTTTAAATTTTCACTCAGTATATGCTTGTAACAAATCATCTACAGTAACAGTACAGTAGCAAATTACAAAATACAGTACAAAGGAAAAGGGCATTTCTATGAATGCTATTGAGCATTGATTTATTATATAATACATTTGGATTGTATGATGTACTAACCAAAGGGATAATTACGACCTTTCGAAAACGTAAGTGTTTTAACGCAAAACATTATACACTAATATTGAACTAAAAGTCTAAAGGAAAGGCCAAGGACGTTTTTTAGTTTTTCGACGATGCGCCACTATAATTGATTTGTTATTCCACGATCCCGTAATTATAGCTGCGATGTTCCGCGATCCCAGTGACTAACGGCCAACAGATGTTATTGTATCATGAGTTTTTATATTGAAGTTTATAGATTGCTCGACCACATGAAAAAGCTTGTTAAGTAAATTAAGAAGAATGAGTGGATGTCTACCGAAAACGAATTGACTTTACAGCTTAATTAATCGTAGCAAAACTGAAAACATTTGTAGGCTTAAAGGTTTTATTTTTTTTACCTCTTAAACAAATCAACACCCTGGTAACTATATATATATATATATATAACGGACGGTGTTTTTGGCCTCTGGGGACCTCAAAACGAAAAAGTAAATCGGTCCCAGGTCAAGGTCTTACCATGAAACCTACGGTAATAGCTAATTCCCTATATGGGAAATTGGCTAAAAGGAAATATTTCACTGATTGTAGCACGCTATTTAGCTGTTTTCTGCACTCTTACATTTTTCTGCACTCATACTACTTTCCCGCACTCCAGGTTTTTTAACCTAAAAATAGTAAGGTCGGCGAGGTGGTGTACCACAAACACATGTTGGGAGCAGCTGTGCTGTAAGAACTTGATGATCAGCTGTTACACTGTTTTGTTTAGGCTACGTTTTAATACGACAACGAACAATATTCTATGTGCATTGTGTTTTGTGGCAACTTCAGGAAAATGTGTAATTTTAATTAGTGATTATACAGTATACTAGTTATGATAGGAAAGGTAAAATTAAACCTATGTGTTCCAAAACATGTTGCATGAAAAAGTTCAACATAACCCCTCAAACAAGCACCAATACGTAATATCATACATGTCACACGAACGCTTACATAAAATCGCACAATACATAATATTTTCCTTTTTGGTGATTTTATGTACCTTCCTTTATGGTAATATGTTGTATCTCTTTTGTAATGAACATATACAATCTATATATTAATAGGCAAGTATGTTTCTTTAAAACCTTTTTTCTCAACTCATGTACATCGCAGGGAAAATCTACGCATACTAGTAGAAAGATATTTCCCGTAGATGTGCAGAATCCCGCTATAAATTAAATGCTCAAAAATAAGCACAAAAAATTGATTTACAACTAAACAAAAATTAATATTGGCCTTATGGGTTGCTATGCTAGTGACGAAATAACAACGAAATATAAACAGAAAATCAAAACAAGTTAAAGAAATTCCACTCACATGTTTTATTACAGCGTGGAATGAAAATAGAGCGGTCTACACATTCCATATTTCTGGTCGAGTTTTCGACCACAGGACGACCTCTAGTTCAATCGAATCACCAATCTATATATAAAGCCAAAAGTACCCATGAACTTTTGAGAAAACTACAAGTCACACCCCCATAAACCATATACTTAAAATGTTTGTCATGACGAGAAACCTTGCGCAAAATTATCCATTATTTCATAAATTGCCCTATAAGGACGTAATTGCTTTCCAAAGGGAACTTAAACCGTTTGTTTATTTCATCTTAACTTAACCAATCAATAGTTTTATTAATACTAATGTAGTAAAACGGGGTGGAGCCCGTGGGTAACAGCTAGTTAACCATAATATCCTTTCCTATCATAAACTAATTCCATGCTCTCCATCTTTGCTACAACGGAGAAACTATTCTTCACTTTCATGCGGCCCGTAGACGTTTCTTTTAGAAGAGTTTTACTTTCATTTAGCGCGCTATAGATTCACAAATAATGTTTGCATCTTTTAACAGCATAACAGCGTAGTACGAAATATTATAAGAATTGAAGGTTTGTAAACCTGGTATAAGTCTTTAACAGGCACAATGCTATGTATTTTATGGAGTTTTATGAGTGTAGACTCGTTCACTGACCAAGAGCAGCTTTCGATTTGCAGTTTCATCATTGACTATTGGATACTGAAGGTGTCATTTATGATCAATGATCATGGAAAGTTGTGTCTGTCTAGTATCAAACAATTAATTGGCACTTTTCTCGTGGTCAAATCTACTCCCTTCATATTACCAGTTGAGTACTATAGTAACTTCAGCTACCTGACTATACAACTACTCAGCAAATGACAATGAAATAAACAAATTAACCAAACATTGAGTACCTTCGTGTAGCCTGTCTAGAAGTGAAGGTTTATGAACCAGGAGTTGAGAGCAATAGCTGCGTAGTAGACCAGTAGACGTACCGTTAGCTGGGCACAAAACACTACACCGAGGTAACTCTCGACTCTGACACGGCGACTGCGCAGTACCACAGTATTGCAGTACTTTCACCATAGTCACAGTCACACCAGGGTGATGATTGTCTTAGCAA